GGCTGCAGTTTGTTATTTTCAGGGTTTAAAGTAGTTCTGAACACCATACAGGAGAGGCTGCACACGTTCATCAGCCTGCCCAAGGCAAATGCTCTGATCTCCTCATTTCTTTCTGAGTAACTCAGAGATATTCAGAGATACTCCATCCTCCTGGGGCCATGATTTATTCATATACAATACCACACCTCCCAATAAATTAGCCTCTCTGCCACATCAGTAACTCAAAAGTTTGGAGAAAGTCAGATTGAGGCAGTGAATTGTCAATAGCACAGGTTGCCAATAGCACAATGGGCCCCAGTCTGAGCTAAAGAAAAAGAACAGTTTTTGTGGCAGCCCCATGGAGCTGCTCCTGTACCTCAGAACAAGAGCAGAGAGCTGCATCCCAAAGAATGCTGCATTGACTGCATCAGGTACGGCTCATTCCAGCCATGTCCTGGCTTCCCTCCTCCTCTCCACAGAAAGGCTGGAAAATATCTGCTGGGTGTCTCTAAAGGAAAAATATTTCAGACAGCAGTGAATTCCCCACGCTAGCACACTTCTTCAGAAAAGAGAGACTGTTTGCTGGCTGCTCGTGGCTCTTGGGATGTTGGCAGGCTGTGAGAGGAGCCCGCTGTGCTGCAGTGTGCCCGTGCCCTCACACTGCGAGTGGAGACAGATCCATCACTCTGACGGGCTGCGAGGAAACGCAGCCAGGGCTCCCCTGGTGCTGCGGGCACGCAGACCCTGCCAATGGCAGGGGCACAGCAGACCCAACATTCCCGTGGCAGACTGCCTCCCCAGAGGAGATTTCAGCCTCTGATGGGAAGTTCTTGAAACAAAGCCCTCGTTTGTTTCAGGGCTGCGAGGCCACCCTGGCAGGTTGACCCGCACTCCCTCCCTCAAGGCTGTCCAGGATGGGGCTTTGCTTTGGGAAGCCAAGTGCTGCAGGGCTCCTGGACCCTGCATGTCAGTCTGTCTGCACTGAGAAGCTCCCAAGAGCAGAGGAGCCGCCAGCCTGCCCTAGTCCCCTTCCAAGGAAGACACTGAAGCATGGCTTGGACACCTCCAGCCTGCCCAAAGGGAGCAGCTTATCCAACAAGGCTCAGATGGGATGACTGGGAAAGAAACAGTAATAAAAAGATGTCTGTTCCTTTGCAAAACAGGGATTTTAAAAGCACTTGCTGAAGACACTGGAAGAGGTTTTTCCTCACTAGGTCTGAGGGAACTCTTTCTCCTTGGCGCTGCCACTGCGGAGCCGGGCTGGGATGGAAAAAGGAGCCTCAGCGCCAGGAACAGCAGATTGCAAACACAGCTCTGGCCTTGGGGTGGAGGGTGGCTTTAATTACGTGTGCATGTGTGTCCTTTCTCAGGGTCATCCAGCATGATGCAGTGAGAAAGCAGGAGCAGCCTCCGAAACACAGGGGGGCATTTTCTCTGCAAGGCTTCTAGTGTCGGGGCAGGGAAAGGAAAGTTTCACTGTGGCTTTAGAGAACGTTTCAGCTGAGACCTTGCACGTTCACCCCAACAACCCGTCACTGCTGTGCCCATCTATATCCACAGAGAGCTCAGGGTCCATCCACTGCTCCCCTGGCACTGTGCAGAGCAGTGATCACACTCAAGGCAGCTCCATCTGCCCGCAAAGGGCAGATTGTTATTTCCATTTTCACTGTTATTTTTCAGTTATCTGTGCTATACTCACTGCACACCTGGGTTGCCCTGTTGATGGAACAGCTGATTAAAGCAGGACCCAGCTCTGGGTGGCAGACGTTTGGCTGATGAGCCCAGAGCTGTGAGCCAGGGATGAGGCAGCTGCAGCCTGGCAGAGCTCGGGCCATCACCCCTCACCCTGCACAGCATCCTGAGAGCTCCACACCACACACACCAGCCCAGTGCCCTCTTCTCCACAACAAATCCTCCCCAGCTGCTCTTCCCAGCCTCACATTTCCCAGCAGCAGTCAAAGGAGAACACAGACTGCCAGCAACATAAAAAATTAACTGAGGGATGGAAGACACATTTTTGTATAGCATGAAAGAAAACTGCATTTACTTTGTAACTGAACTACAAACTGGAGGCCAGACAGGCAGAACTCAACAGAAGGAATGGTGGAGCAAAGGAGATAAACATTATTGGTAGGATAAACTGAGTCACAAAAGGATGATATTTTATTTTAGGATTTAAGGTCCATACTTCAGACAAGTCCAGGCTGTAGCAAGCCTGAGTGTCCCAGAGGTGGCACATCACTGTGCCACAGACACCCCACAGCCCTCAGTAGGGCAAAACTGAGGGTGTTTCCCAGCACCAAGTATGTCTTAGACTGAGCATTTATACACATGCTTGTAACTTAAACCAGAACGCATTATAACAATTGGCATCTGACATTTTAAAATGTAAAGTGTGTCCGTGAACTGCACAAACACCCATCTGTCTGTTCTGGGCACACTACACCAGACCCATGGTGCCTGGTTTAAGGAGACTTTTGTGCTTTCTCATTTCAGTAAACATCTGTTTGCTCCACATGACTTCACACAAGCACAATCCAGGATCTTGGGTACTTTCTCCATAGTTTACACTTGGCCCATTCCAGGTTTTAGTAGATTTTTCCTGTTTGAGAGCAGTATAGGAAATCTAAAGACAGCAAAGGCACCCACATGCAGCAGTCTGACTCCAAGTCTCACTTTTTACACGACTAAAAAATACTTCAGGAGTTGCCAGCGACAAGAAGCCAGTAAAGGAATTGATTCTGTAAATTTTCAGCAAACCTATTGCCTGGCTTCCTGCATCTCTTCAGACTGACCTAATGCTCTCTTTGGTGACCACAGATAAGCCAGCAGTGAAATGCAGGGACACATAAAGCAGAGCCAGATTCAGCCCAGACCCTGAACTGCCCCAGGTCAGCTCTGAGCTGGGAAAAGGAGACCCCAGCAGCAGCCCCCCAGCACTGACCTTACCTGGTCTCGTGGTGACAACACTGCTGCAGCCAATGTCTCAGGCCAAAGAGAAGTTGGTGCTCACCCCAGCTCTTAAACCTCACCCTGCACTCAGGCCCCAGCTGGGGCTGCAGCAGGTTCTCAGCAGGTGAAATCCCTTTGGTTAAAGCCACTGTGAGCTGCACCAGGGCTGGTGAAGCAGCAGGAGCTGCCCAGGAAGGACCTGCTCTCCCTGCAACCTGCTCCAGCTGCTGTGTGCCGTGGGCATGCAATCATAGAAACATGGAATCAAAAAGGTTGGAAAAGACCTCCAGGATCATTGAGTCCAACCCTTGGCTGAACACCACCACGTCAGCTAAACCACTGTGCCACACCTGGTCATTTCTTGAAGCATTCCAGAGATGGTGACTCCACCACTTCCCTGGTCAGCAATGCCCTGGGACCACCACAGCCTCTAGGCCAGGCTGCCCCAGCACACCCTCAGCCAGTCATGCTGCAGCAGCCCCAAAAGGGTCAGGAAACAGCATCTCCTCATAAAAGGCTGGGGGGATCATATTTAATGGATGAATTAGGCAATTTTAGCAGCAGCGTTGTCTCTGCTGCACTGCACTCAGGAAGGTGAGGCAGTGGGGACAGAGGGTCCCTGCCCCATCCCAGTGGGGCTTTTAGGGGCACTGTGGGCATTCACAGATAACCAGACTTTCAGCTCATCATGTCCTGACTCCATTCCCCACATGGCTGGATGTGTCAGCCCTCTCCATCATTTCACCTCATCAATCTGTGATGTTAAAGCCCATGGTTTATTTATTTCTTTACTTCACTAATAAAGCACATTATCTACAATGATTAATTTTGCAATAAAGAAACAACACTACTACAAATGGTGGTCTAAGACAACCTAGGGGGACTCTACAAAGTTCACATCCTAAATCCATCTCTGTTAGCTGTGAAACATCATTCCTCAGAGTACTTGACTCGTTAATGTAATTCTTCTACAACCAAGTCCGTTGCTCCATCCCCATGTGGGGAATAAGCACCACTCCCGAGCTAAGGAATAATGAATTTACCAGTTTCGAGGGGGTTTGGTTCAAACCTCAAAAATGAGGATTTGTTACTTCACTTAACTGTGATACAACAGGATTATCTCAGACATCAGATATTCGTTCTCTTAGAGTACTGGTGACGGATGAGAATACTAAATGTAAGGAGGAAGGATAATGAATACAGAGCGGTATGGGCCTGTGAAAAAGAGAACTAGTCCAATTAACAGAATAATGAATTTCAGCTTGGTCGATAAATGTAATCATTTGGGTAAGATATTCTTTGTCTTTCATAAACTATTTGAAATCATACAAACATGACATTTTGATTAGAGCAAAAAAGACATAACGATAAGAGAGCCAAGTTGTCATAGATCAAACAGACAAAACCCCAGACTGATGGGTCCCACAGCAGAGGGAAAGACAGAGACAATACATTGCCTGCAGTGCTCCACAGGGACACGTCCTTCTGCACTCTGGTACTCTGCCAGCAGCCTAAAGGAACTATAAAAACACCACTGGCCAAGTGAGGGAGTGACACCAGCTGGAGGAGCTGGCCATGAGGTCCCCCCAGCCAAAGCCCTGGGCAGGGCAGCACTGAACCTTTGCACAGATTTAAAATGCAGTGACAGCTCTGGGCAGCAGCAGCTCAGGCCACTGGCATGGGATGTGCCACGCCAGGTGAGGGCAGGGGATCTCAGCTGGACACTGCTGTGGACAGGGGGCTGCACAAGGCCAAAGGCACAGGTGGAGGCAGAGTCCCCTCTGCCCCTGGTCCCCATGCTCAGTGCACCAACACACTGGGACCAGTGTGGAGACTCAAAGGCTACCTGGGTGCAGCACAGCACTGGGCCAAAGGGGCTCAGCTGGCACAGCAGATGCCAAGACAGGCACCCAGGGAGACATTACAAGAGATGCTGGTGAGAGAGGGCTCCAGCCCATCAAGGCACCACAAGGAACCAGGGTTAAAGCTTAAACTAAGCAGGTTAAGACTATAATGGGATATTTTTACAGAGAGGGCAATTAGCTATTAGGAATTCTTATCAGAGGTTGTAACGGGTTCTCCACTACTCATTTATTAACTCTGATCATGAAGATGGGATCTCTGTCTAATCAGCCAGCTCAGGTTCATTCAGGAATTCGGGGCAATCCTGCAGCCATGAAGACAGGAGTGACATGATCACGAGGGTCCCTTCTGCAAGCATGCAAGCTCTTAACGTCACCTCACACCCCTCTGCTTGCCCTCTTTACCTGACAGCTGCTATGTCAATGGTTGTACACATCTGTACAAGAAGAGGTTTTTAGACAGTGCAGACATAAATCGTGTGTGACCTCAGCGACTGTGGGTGCACGTGCATCACACGCCCAGGCCACCAGGCCAACGCCAGCAGCGGGGATGTGGGAGGGCTGAGATCGCTGAGGGAGCTCTGAGGAGCAGGATGGAGGAGCAGGAGGAGCAGGAGGCCTTGGCTCCAGCATCCCTGCTGCAGAGCAGCGAGACCGAGCCGCCGTGCCCGGCTGTGCAGGCGCAGCCAGCGGCTCCCCCGCCACCCTCAGGTCACTTGAACACGGATGGAAACGTCGGGCAGTCGGGGGATTTCATCTTCTTCATAAACTTCTTGAACTCTTTGTTCTTCTTGTCCCACTTGTAGATAGCTGTCAACAGGTACTGGGTCTTCACCTGGCGGCCCATGATGAGGAAGTAGTGGCTGAGGTTGTCCAGCTGATGGCAGGGACAGTCTGCCCCGTTTTTTAGGAACAGCACCAGCTTCTTCAGGTTCTTCTTTCGGATGGGCCCCAGCTTCAGTGCCTTCCTCTTCCGTGGAATGATCATCTTGTCCCCATTCTCCTTCTTCACTTCCTTTATGGTCATCTTAAGAGCTGCAAAACAAGACGGGAGAGGGGAAAAACAAAGCTCCTAAGCAGCGTTCAGCAGCAGCAATGCCCAGTCCCATTGCAGACACACAGCGCCCTGCTCCCCTCCTGCATTCCCCTTGTCTCTGCTCTGCTCCTGAATCCTCCTGCTCCATGGCATCACCCTGGCCACTATGACACTCCTACCCCTGCACCTGAGGTGAAGCTGCCCCATGCCCAGGACAGCACCAAGGTGAAACATTGACATCTTTGTTTCCCTTCCTTCAGCGAAGCACCCAGCACTTCCCATTTGTGAGGGGATTTGTTCAGCTGCCAAGCACAAATGTTAGCTGAGTAAATTAGGTGACTTCCCTGCTCTACAGGCATGAAGAGACTCTTGAAAGGATCATTTAAAAGGTCAATTTGGCTTCTCAAGCATTTGTTTGCAGTCACAGCAGCCCTCAGGTGCCTGTGAAAAGTTTCCAAGCACTGGATGTCTCTGCATCAGAGCTGTGGAGACCCTGGCATGCAGTCATGTGCCTGCACCTTCCCTGGGAGAAGGGAAGATATAACTTCCATGGAAAATCCTCTCCCCTCTTTGGGTTCAGCATTTTCCTGAGTTAATGGCAAAACCCCCTGCCCCCAAAAAAAGAAAAACAAGGTTTTTTGCCATGACCATGAAGAGGAATTTTGCATACATGGGAAAAATGATGAAAATGTGTTGTACATTAAAACATCATTTCTGTGCCATTTGGCTCTGCCTCATTTTTGGGAAAAGCACATATGGCCAAAAATTGCTAACATATTTTCATCATTTGGGAGTTCACTTCAGAGCTGCAGATAACTAGTGCTCAGAGAGGTGATTTGTTGGCTGCTGTCCCTTCTCATTAGAGTCTCAGGACAGTTGCAGGCAGTCCACAAGAACCTTTGGCTCTGGCAGGGAGACAGGTCCTCACAGCATCATTCCTTGAAGTCCTGCTCTGCTGGAACACGCAGCAGTGAACACGTGTTGCTTCCTGGATGGCAGCACTGCTCACTGTTCCAGACACAGATGGCAGCAGGACAGTATGCTGACATCCCAAGCAGGCAGCAGAGACTCAGCATCACCCTCGTGCTCCCAGCCACTACCCTGGCAAGAGGAGCAATGGTGTTCGTCTGGCCCGTGCCAAAAACATCCCCTAGGTTTGCCAAGAGCCCCGTCATGTTACACTGTCATTGTATAAGAAAGTAATCTAGGACTGCAAACCTAAGAGAAATTTTCATTCCATCTGTCTTTCAAATTCAGGAGCTAAAGATACTCCAGCTTTAAGGAGCTAAGGATGCTGAACCAGATCAGTTTGCAACAAATCTGGAAAATGAAGTAAGTAGTTTTCAAGCAGCTCTAAACTCCTTGACATCAACTGGGTAGCAGTAGCAGCAACACCCCTCAGTGTCAGCCTCACTTCCTTTATTCATGTTGACTGGAGCCCTTGCACTAAGCACAGAGGTGGCCAGGGCAGGAGGGATGGTAAAACACCATTACAACAGCACAGCAAGAGACTTTTGCAAAATGGCTTGTTTGCAAACCGCTTTGCTGAGATCACTGCAAAATCTGATCATTTTTGCTAGAGGAAGAAGAGCAGCTGCCAGCTAGTGGAGGTGCTGATCTACTCCAAGTATCACACACCACTGAAGACAAAGAAGGCCTGGTAATGCTGTGCTGTGGGAGCTCGCAGCTGCTCCCTTCCCTGCACACAGCAGTTTGTGATCCAGCAATGCAGGTTCATGGGAGCTGCCCAGGGGAACCATAAATCCAGATGTAAACCAAAACCTCATCCAAACCTTGCTCGTGCAGAGCAGCACACAGAGCCAAGATGGGATAATGCCAAGGGGGATGAAGGAGGAGGCTGACCAGGGGTGCAAATAGTTTGTGTCAGGCTCTGTTCTTCCCAGCAGCAATGGCCTCATAACCAGCAAGAGCCTGCAATGCTGCCCAGGTAAACACAGCCTGGCTCAGGGACCACCAAGCCTCCTCTGCCTTTGGTGCTGCAGGCTGAGCAGTCACACAAGCACAATGATCTCTGCTCAGCCCTCATTGCTCTGCAGTGGCCTGGCTCCCCAAATTCCCCTTGTTCACTTAATTGGGCCACATTCTCCAAGTCCCAAGCCACATTCCAGGTGAGATTCCTGGGTATGAAAGCTGTGTTCCACAGTGGCAGGCCAGTCACAGCTTTGGCACGTCCCACGTGCAGCAGGAAAACGGTGCCTGAGGGAACATTCATTCCATCCTGCTCTAAGAGCTCACCAGCACGCCGTGGGAGGCAGCCTCCAGCTCCTGGCTTTCCTAGAACATGGCATTTGGTGGGGGAACCGTGGCTCGGGCGGGACGCTTGGAGTCTTGGCTCCAGAACCCAGCTGAGCTGCCAAAGCAAACAGCTTCCTCACTGGGAACCGTGGCCTCTCCACTCCCCCCATGCTGCATCAAATCTGTCTCAGCACCGAGTGGGAGAGGGGCCAGAATCGCCTCTGAGATCCCAGGACACGCTTGCTCAGACAGACCAAGGAGCTGACCCCAGCAGAGCATGTGCCACCTTTCGGCTGCACTGTGACCACTGGCTGCTTCAGCATCAGCTGTGGACTGCTGGCAGCACCAGCCCCTGCCACTCTGCATGGCCCACGAGGGCTGCAGGATCCACATGCCACCCACAAGCCCTTCTTACCATTTACCTTCATGGGACACACACGTGTTCCAGCACAGCCTTCTCCAAGGACGGCACTGTACCAGGACAGTCACAGCTGAGAGCAGGAGCCCCAGTGCCCTGTTCACAACCCACTACCATGCCCCATCCCTGTTCCCCACTGGCTCCTCCACCCCTCTTTTTCAGCACAGGACAGGACACCCTGGGACTAGGATGCTGCATCTCCTGTTCTCCTGCCTGCTCGGGCAGGGGCCCCACTCCAGCACCTCATGTGCAGGAAAGGGAATGCTCCACTGTTCCTTCAGCCTCATTTTTCCTTCCTATAGAAATCACTGAGAAGGAAGAAACCTGCCAGAAGACACATTAGGGCTGTAACAGGAGAAGGCTGCAGGCAAGGACCCGTCAGTCACAGAGAAAAAATAAACAGCATGTATTGATTGTTCTGCAGTCCCCAGTGCTACAGAGCCCGTTCAGCAGGATTCCCTCAGACCCCAGAGAAAGGGCAGAAACAATAAATAAAATCACTAAGAGAAACAGAGCGTGGAATGAACTCCTGGAGTAAGAAACAAGCGCTGGCTGCAGCCCAGGGCAGAGGGGGAGGCGGCTGCGGGGGCACTGGAGGCCGATCTCCTGCTTCCTCTTGCATCCATCGCTGCCTCAGCACACCAGCACCACACTAAAATCTACACCACAGTTACCCCCACATACCTGATCCAGCCCCCTGTGCTGCTCTGTGCTCAGGCCAAGATTCTGGCACCCCTCACTGACATCTACTCCAAAGCTGTCTTACCCTCAGAGGAGCAGCCAAGCTGCCTCAAAACAGCACCCCAGAGTCTACGTTCATCCTTGCACAAACAAACGCAAACCCAGAGTTCTGCTGGACCATGAGGTCGGCAGTCTCCTGGCACCCCTCTGACCCCCAGCATCTTGTCCAAGATCTCGCCTGCCTTTTCTTTACAGTTTGTGTTCCCAGCTGACTGCAGCTCTCTTCCTGCACTGTACTCTAGACCGACTCCAGGGCTGCTACACAGCCACTTCCTACACTGGCACAGTCACACTTCTGCGGGGGGCAAAGTGGTCATCACCTCTTTTCTGTAACAAGCTGCTGGGATATACGAGAAACCTGCAGTAATGACACAGTGGGAATCAGTGCAAGACCTACCAACAGCTGCCCCGTGCAGCACATGTTAGTTTAAACATTTATTGTACATGTCTGGCTTTGATGAGGATCTGTAACCTGTCAGCTGCCAGTGTTTACCTTGGAGGACGTGCATGAGAAACCTCAGGCTGAAGGTTTGGGAGTTTATAATAGCGCCAGATAAACAGCTTTCCTTGAGAAATCACCCCATGACAGTAACTCCACAAGACTAAACAAAGATCCAAGGGCCATGCACTGTGCTTTGAGAAAACTTCCTGAAGCCAATGCCTCATCCACTAGCCACTCCGTCTGCTGAGACATCCTTCTCACCCCTGCATTGCCTTCCCTCACAGGGCACAGGTAGGACCTGCATTGCATCCTATCCCGTGCTCCTGCTCCCCAGCTGGCTACAGATGGGCCACATCTGCCAAGAAATAATTCCATCCTTTGGACACTGTCACCACCGTCTTTCCCAATAACAACTTACACTGCGGGCAAGTCACTGTCCCAAGGCAGGGAATTCTTCTGTTTTGGCCTCTGCTCCCCGTTGTGTAACTGTCCCGGAGCAGGGGAGGATATTTAGCAGCACAAGTTGATGACAAGCGTGTGGTTAAGTTTGTATTTCCCTTCTCAGCACTTGCTTACCAGCAGGACACCACCTCAGCTCACTCCTTGCACACGTCTGGCAAGGGGACAGGTATTGCAGTGAGCCACCAGCACCAGACCCACTGCTGCCACTGGCCAGTGCCCCTCGCTGCTCCTCTGGGATGAAGGTCTCCCAGCCCCCGGACTGGGGCAATGCCTCTGCATCACCACAAGCCCGGGCAGGGAGCTCCCATCCAGAGCAGGTGTGCTGGTTCCAGAGGCTGGTTCTCCCTCCCCACCGTCTCTCCCAGTGTGTGCACTGAGGCAGGGGCAGCTCCGATTCAGCTTCCATGGTCGGCGCGGAACAGAGCTCTGAGCACCTCCCACACCCCAGCCAGGCCACGCACTGAATGTCTGCTTCCACTCCCCAGCCAAGCCAGGAGTATGCACATTCCTGGGAAACTATTACATGGGTGTTTCTGTTGATGCTTTTCCCTGTTAGAAAAAGCCTGCGCTGAACTTAGGACTTCTGGCATGCCAAATCTGCAGGAGAGTTGAGAATTCATTTCCAGCAGAAAGGGTAGCACACCAGCATGCAGAGCAGGTTTGGGTTTGCATAAGCACGCTCCAGTACAGGGCACATTCAACTGCTAATCCCCCAGGAATGCACACCTTGTTCAATATGCCTTTAATAATCTTCTGGGAAAGTTACATACACCAGCAAGGATGTCAAAACCAGTTAATTCTGGGTTTGATCTGAGAAAGTTAATATATTTCCTTGTGATAATTTTTTTTTAATGAAGTTCAGTTCACCTCTGATTGTCTGACTCACTCACCCCTTTAGGACAAAGCTTTCAAGTAGCTTTGCATTTTTTAACAACACCCACCTCCACATACCCACACTGACATCTAGAGGCACATGTGCCTGGCCTTGAGGACAGACTGCAGGACACAGCAGCACCACTGCGGGCAGGGAAGGGTGGCAGTCCCAGTCTAGCCCACACAGGAGCCATGCTGCCCCGTGGGAAGCCTCCCTGTGCCTAGAGTGCTCCTCCTTACCAAACTCGCTGGCACACAGGTGCTCCACAATGGCCTCTGACTTCATCTCGTTGTCACAAGGGGGACACACAGTCGTTCCTGGCAAGAGAAAGAAGTGAAGACAGTTGAGAGGTGGCGAGAAGCCAGCACAAGCAGCACTGCAGAGCCAGACTGCCAATGCTGTCAGACCATCACCCTCGAAGGGGATCCATGCCCATGCACCCTGCCATGGGCTCCCAGCTCCCATTTGTGAGGGACAGCACCCTACTGGGTGTAAGGAACCATCCACCAGCTCTCAGGGCAGCACTGGCCATAGGCAGCCTTCTGCCAGCCCCACTCCAATGCTGCCAGTGGCCCCAAGGCCAGGCACAGGCAGCTGCTAAGTGCAAAAGGACAGCACTGGCAAAGAGAAGAGTTTTTAGGGCCAGGCCCTCAGCTGAGGGGAGTGGCTTGCCAAGGGGCATGGCCCACAGCCTGCTGACAATCCCTCCCCATGGCATGCCAAGACAGGCACACAATGCCCGAACCCCGGCACAGCAGCAGGATGCTGCCCAAAGATGGCTCAAGCCCCAAGGTGCTACCCTGGTGCCAGGCAAGGGGGTTCAGTACTGGGACAGCCCAGTCCAGTGTTCCCCTCAGTACTGGGGACCATCCCACAGACTGCCCAGGAAGGCCTTTGCCACCATCTCTCCTGTCCCAGAGCAGCCCTGGCTGGGGATGGACCAGCACAGCTCCTGTGGATGCTGCCACCACCAAGAGTGGTCATCCTCTCTGTTTTGAGCCCAGGGCAGCCTCATGGCTCCAGCAGAGCAGAGCCATCTGCCTCTTGGGAAATGCCAGCCCAGGGGATTTCACTGGGATCTGTCCTGGGAGGAAAGCTCACTCCATCCAGAGAATAAGACTCTGTTTCCAGGCTCCCATCTGCAGTTGGAGAAGACCACCCAGCAGCACAGACATAGACTTGAGCTACTGGCAGATGAATTTATTGAGCTGGGAGATGCTGCTTGTTCCTGGTCCAGCAAGACGGAGGGCTCTTCCCACACAAGGGAGTTATTCTCAGGGACAACACTGCAGCAAAACATCTGCCAGTCCTTGCATGTAAACAGAACACTCATGGCCTTCCAGCCCTCAGCCAGGCCAGCAAACCCACAGCATTGCTGGAGCAAAAACGCAGAGAGGTGTCACAGAAAGAGGGGTGCAGAGCCAGCATGGCTGGCGAGGGAGGCACAGCCATAGTGTCGTGTCTCCTCAGCCACAGATGCCCCACGGGGATTCAGGCCAGACATTTGTTTTCTGTGGCTTGTTTTTTCCCTGTCGCCACCCCCAAATCTCTTCTGTGCCAAATGCTAATTCCTGGGGACACGTACCATGACTTTATTAATCACACATGCAGAGCAATTGACCTTTTGCTCACTCCTATGTGCAAGTCACACGTGAGCCTTCACAGGACCAACATCCACCTCCCCACACTCTGTACCTCTGAAAGCTGCCCATCACCTGGGTAAACTCTTTTTCCAGAGCCCTAAAATGCAACTGTCACCATCACTATCTCACTCAGAGTAACACAGGCAGAAGCCAGCCTTTGTAGATATGATGGCATCCCTAACACTTTATTTTTAAAATCAGCAGTCAGAGTATTTCTTTCCAGGCTGCACATCTAATGAGCTCATGACAAGGGAGAGAGGAAGGAGACACAGACCCAGCCCTCCATCTGCTGCAGAGCCAGGAGTTCATCACCGTGCTGGGGACCACCATCAGAACAAACCATGCCAAGCACTTCCATCGGTCTCAGCAGCCAAAAGTGCACATGAGGAGGCTGCCAAGCCTACACCAGCCAGACAAACATGAAAGCCACCACTGCATCCACTCTACGAGCTTTTCAGGCAACCAATTAAAATAGAGAAAAAAAGCAAACAAAAATGGAAAATAAGACTTATTGTTTCCTAGTGCAAACACAGGCTTTTTTCTAGCTATGCTCCAGCAGCCCCTGAACAGGCTGTAACACACCCAAGGTGGCAGAGACCCCTGCCTTGCTGCACCAGGGCCCGGAGCCAGCAACCATCCTGTGGGCTGGACGTGGGAGCCCCTGGGTAGCCCCTTCCACAGGCAGCAGCTCCACTTATGCACAATCTCCCTGCCCTAACTTGATCAGGCTGCTCAGAGTCCCACCAAACCTGATCATGAATGTTTCCAAAGACGGGGCATCCACCACATTTCTAGGTAATCTGTGCCAGTGTTTTACAACCTTCACTGCAAAAAACTTCCTCCTTATATCCAATCTAAATCAACCCATTCTCCAGCCCTGTCTCCTGCAGCCCTTTCACAGCACAACAGGACTGCAGGAGACACTGTCCCCTGTCAATGGGAAGGAACACTGTCCTCTGCCCTGGGTCACCTCATTACTACTACAGTCAGGAACACAAATACTGGGGGCCTGGCCAGCTCCTGCACTGCTCTGTGCCCCAGGAAAACTGCTGATCTGTGGAGCCACAGCTACCCCAAAACTGCAAGCCCTCCCATCCCTCCTGAGGCACTACAGCAGACATCTCCAGCCCACCCCTGGGGCCCACTGCAGGCTGGCTGGGGCCCATCTGCTGCAGCTGACGGCTCTGCTCCAAGCACAGTCTCAGCCTGTCTCCAGCTCACTTGTTCCCTGCTGACCATTTTCCAATGCCTGGCTGTAGAGCCAGCTTACTCCAGGGGCAAGAGAAGGAATGTGTAATGCTGTATTAATCTGCAACTCCCCTGATGCATCCTGTGGGCCTGCAGGCTTTACTGCCTGTGCTTAAAGAGAAAGGAATTCAGCAGGTCAGTTCTTTGAGAGGCAGAAACAAATTCCAATTTCAAGGTGTTAATGGGGAAAAATACTGAAAGAGTTTGTTCTTATTAGTACCAAGAGAAAAGGGGGGACACTGCTTGGTTCTGACCCTCTTTGAATCAACAGGAAACACTCCTGCGCCCAAGAGCAAAGGGGCTCCAGGAGCTGGTGCTGACAGGAAACACAAACGATGGACAGGGTGCACATAGCAGAACCCAGGCAGATGAAAGCAGCCTGAAAGGGACAAGGACTGAGCTGCAGGTCGCCTAGGACGACTCGACATCTGCGGGAGGTGGCAGCACCAGAGCTGAAGGAATGGGTGCCTCAGGGGTCATTAACAGATCCTCTGTCGCATGCGGGAGATCCAGTGGCGCTGGCTCACATCACAGCAGTGGCTGCAATTAACTCGGAGTTTGCTTTTTTCACTCCAAACTGTTGGAGGCACCACAAGAAAGCAGTAGTGTCCCACATCAGTGCTGCTTTCAGGACAGGTCTGAAAGGTGAAGAGAAAGTCGTTAAACTACTCAAAGGAAAACCTGGCAGATGCTGCTCATTTAGAAGACTGTTTCCAGGTCTTGGCTCATTAATGTCTGTGAAGTGAATGACCTGCACACAGCTCAGACTCTATTTCAGACCCTGGAAGGGGCAGCTCAGATCCAGTTGTCCCAGGAGTATGCTTGGCTGCAAGTCCCCGGGGAAATAAAAGCAACCTTTGTACCTGCAATACGGAACATGGCTGCGGTCTTGACCAAGGGTCCAGGTTCACATAAAACATACTAATTTAGAGCATTCCTGGAAAACAACGAGGTTTCTCCAGCAGTCACATCAGTAAGGGCAAACCATACCAAGGAAGCCAGTATGGCTGTGCTGCCACCACTGTGGGGAGAGGCTGGGTCCCTGGCAATGAGACCAGCCCGAACTCAGCCCCCCAAACCTTCCCACCCCTGGCACAAGCTTCACATTCCACCTGTCCTGGATGTCACTGCCGAGATGTGACATGCACTCCTGCTACAGCTCCCCTGGGTACTGAGCCTGGGTGTTCCCCTGTGCCTGCCATGCCACAGCCACGGTGCCACTGCCCTGTGCTGCCCTTGCACAGCTCCACAGACACCTCAGGGCATCCCCCTCTGCTCCTGTCCTGTGTCACAAGGGCTCTCCGAAGTCCTTTCAAGATGGGCAGGATGACACTGCACAGTCCCCATGCACTGGGTTACTTCTCCCAGTCGAGCACCACGTCCAGCCTTTGTCTGTACAGTTACTGCAAAGGGCAGGCGTCCCTGCAGACGAGCTCTGACACAGCACAGAAGCCACGGAAACCACTCAGCCCCCCCGCCTGCTCGTCCCCCAGCTCCTCCCGAGGGCCAGCACGATGCCCCCGTGGAATCAGGAGTGACAACTCCTTTCAGTGAGGCTCTGCTGGCCAAAAAGCACTGCACTCTTTGCCATCTCCCTTTACAAACATTCCTCCTGCCTGCCTTTCACAGTGCTCCAACAGCAAACGCTGAAGTGACACCAGGTTATTTATTTATTTTCCAGTTTCCAGCAACAAGCCAGACTAACTGCAACTTGAACAATCCAGTCTGCACCACAAAAGCGTGCTGCATGCAGTGGAAACAAACACGAACTACGTTCACTTTCCCTCGTCGCTTTTGGGCAGGTTTCCTGCTCCCTCTCCAGCCCCCAGCCCACCCGAGGGCAGGGCTGGATCTCCACTGCACGCCCAGCCACCAGCTGCCCAGCCTCTTGCCCTACGACGGCACTGGACGCGGGGGATCCTGCCAGGACTACTGTCACTGCAGGCTCCAGTCGGCCAGCACTTTGTGCCGTGGAGACCACACATCCTCCTGCTGCCCAGAGCAGCCCTGCAGGACTCTGGCTCGGGAGCAGAACCAGGGCAGTGCAGTATCTGAGGGTCACACCTTGGTCCTTCAGAGCTGGAGCCCAGCGCCAATGCCTGGGGATCAGAGATCCCAGTGCAGGGATCAGAACAGGCACAACCCCATCATGTCCCAAACAGCGTGTCCCAAGGCTTTGGGAAAGGGGTGAGGAGCTGGCACGGCATCTCACCTTGCTTGGGACAGGAGGGCACGGACAGTGCTCAGAGGCTAGAGGAGAGCTATTGCCCAGAAGAGTTCAGGTGAGCCTCCCGCCACAAGAGCCCTTTCAGTCCCACGTGGCCCCTTCCTGGGCTAACATTTGCTCTGTCAGCTCAGAGAGGAGTGCCAGGACCAAGGCTGCAGCACGAGCCATGCCTTACCTTTGGGCCTGGAGACCTCGGTGGCATTGGGAGCTGTCATAGCAATGCAGACGTCATCCTGGGGAAACTGGTCACACTTGAGCATCTCTGGCCAGAAGAAGCCAAAGAACTGCATGACAGGCTCACAGGAGTCACGCACGGCCTCGCAGAGCCAGCGGCAGGGGTAGACCGGCCGGTCCAGGCAGACGGGGGCAAAGAGGGAGCACAGGAAGACCTGAGTGCCCATGTGGCAATTCTTGTTGAGCAGTGGCACCCAGCTGCTCGCCTGGTGCTTCACCTCTGCCATGGTCTCGTGATCCAGCAGGTTGGGCAGCACCATCTTGTCGTAGCCCACGCTGTGGCAAAGCCGCAGGTCGGCAGGGATGGCCACGCACTGGTGGGGCTTGGCGTAAAAGCGCCCGCCAGGGTAAGGGCCGAGGTCTGACTGGTAGCTGACATAGTCGTACTCGCTGGCCACGCCGCAGGCCAGCAGCCCGACGGCCACCGACACCAGCGCCCGCAGGGCGGCCCCACCGGGCCCCCCCGCGCTGCCCATCGCCGCTCCCCGCCGGGCGCCCCGGGGGACCCTCCTCGCAGCCCCGCCGAGGGCCCTCCGCTGCCCTTACCCACTCCCCTCGCTCGCCGCCGGCAGACCCCTGCAGAACGCCGCCCCGCCCCGCCCTGCCCTCCGCTCCGCTCCGCTCTGCTCCGCTCCCGCTCCCGCCGCCGCCGCCGCCCCCGGCCCCGGCCCCGGCCCCGGCCCCGGCCCCGGCCCCGGCCCCGGCCCCGGCCCCGGCCCCGGCCCCGGCCCCGGCCCCGGCCCTGCTCTGGCCGCGCTCCGGCCGCGCCGCGGGTTTGTGAGCCCGCAGCAGCCAATCAGCGCGGCGCCGCCCGCCGCGCGCTCGCCCGCCGCTGTCAATCAGCGGCCGCAGGAGCCAATCCCGCCCCGCCCCGCCCTGACGGTCCCACAGCCCGGCAACACAGCCCGGCCCCGTAACTCAGCCCCGTAACACAGCCCGGCCCCGTAACTCAGCCCGGCCCGGTAACTCAGCCCCGTAACACAGCCCGGCCCCGTAACACAGCCCGGCCCGGTAACTCAG